TGATAAATTCTGATTTTTTTAAGTCATTCAGTTTTTACTGATTTACACGCATTTTTCAGTTCAAATAAAAACTGAGTATGAGGAACACTACATGAGACTCAAGCCAGTCATTTCCAGGCAAGGTAAGTGTCAAACTAGACAGTACTTCATGTAAGATCATTGGGCACTTTTACACATGCTCGGGGGGGGAGGCTGCCACACTAATTAAGCATTGTGTATCTTGTGTATCAGCATCCCCACACTTAAAAATGGTGCCCCTGCCCACCACCATCTTTAAGCATGGAAACACTGATACACAAGACACAGGAGGCTGAAGCAGAGCAATTGCTACATTCCAGCAGACTCGATTATTTGAGTCTGCTCTGAATCCAGCGTGTCAGAGTAACCCTCCATGCACATAGATCAGCACCCATAGTCAATTACACCACAATACTGTTTTACTCTATTTTAAGAACACTTAAGCACTTATTTACACTTTTAAGTAACTGAATATAAGAAAGCTTTTTAAAAAAAAATTTCCAAAAACTGACTGGCACGATCATGCAAGTTAAAGGTCATATGCTTATACATTTGCTGCTGAAAATATTTTAGAAAAAACCAAACTCAAGTGTGATGGACTCACCTGAAAATCACAACTAAAACTACCTGAACCGTAACCAACAAAAATTAAGGCTTAAAGTGTCAATTTCTTTTGCTTTTTAAACAAAAAGTTATGCTGGAGAGTTCTCCCAAGACATCAATCAACAAATAAAAACATCTATGCTACAATCAGCAGTTATAAATAGTGCTCAGGAAAAATAAGTGTCTGTTTAAACAAATAAGATCTTATCACATAAAGGTGGGAAAAAACCCACACATGCAAAATTCTGAACTACACTGTACCAGACTTGTGTTTCCACATTCCTGTTTTCAATAAGAATGGTGCACTGTGCCACAACTTGTATTATTGTGCCAACTTTCTGCAGATTTTTCCCCCTAGGAAATTAGTACACATGAATCTGCATAGTTGACTCTAAGGCAGTTGCTATTGCATTTGAGAACTTTCACTCTGAAGAAAATGTAACACCAGTCTGTATAAACAGTCCAGTTCCAATTAATATATTTTATTACTTTCCTTCCCATTTTTGTGGAAGCTAAGTTTTCTCGAGCCTTCTTCTTCAAACATGATTTTTGTAAGCTGACGAAATGAGCATGATTCAATCTTTTAAACGGCCAATGTTTAAGAAGTTTGAGGCATCTGTTAGCTAAAGGAGTAAACTGGCCAGAATATATAAAAGGAGTTTCTCCAGCAACTGATGTTGAAAAATTAGCAAGTTTTATTAATTACAATTAAAGCAGAAGGCAAATTTGAATGCTTGCTCTTCTAAGAGTCTCTCAATATACTCTTCAATCTAATCGGTTAAGGCTTCCCACTATATCAAGCAGAACTTGGGAGTTTTAATGGCAATAAAGAGTCAGGAAAACACACCCACAATATTCCTGGCGCAGAGAAACACAAACCATTCTGTCCTAATGCTGTGTTTATGACATATTAGTGGTCAGAATACTAGTGGCCTGCAAACCCAAACTTCAGGATTTTTTTTAAATATTGACATATATACTCACTTCCTTAACAATTCTGTACTAGTGATCCTTGCATTTTAAATTTCACTTCACTGAATACCTATTACAAGAATTGTAAGACATTATAAATTATTATTGCATTCAAGTTAGGAACTACCAGGTGGAATTCTATGGTTTGTGTTAAATGAGGTCAGACTTTGTGATCATAAAGATCAATTCTGACTTTAAAAAAAAAAATTTTGAAAATCTCAGATAATTCTTCAAAAATTTCACTCAATGCACATTACTAACACTTGGCCTGCAGAGATGTTAAGTCTATCCTTTTATAAATTGTAAAATCACAACTGCTAACAGCCTGCTTCATCCATTTTTTCCTCTGTAAAGCAACATTTCATTTTACAATACAATTAGCACGCCTGTTATTTTCTGTTATTTTTATTCAGGAACATTTGCTTCCCCACCGAGAAAGATGAGAAAGCAAGATTTTGTTGGCACCTTGGGCAGAGTCAACATAGAGGTAAAAAAGATGACCCCACCAAAAGCACACTCAAATTAGATAGTCAGATCACATTTAAAGAGTTCAAATCCTGCCTACACAAAAAGGCAGCCTGGGCCAATTTTGGCAGCAGATCTTGAGGGCAGGGGGATGGATTTATCAGTGAGCTATTTTTACTCTGAAGTTTAACCTACTCAATTTGCAGTAATGCATATCCTGTAGCTTTTAACATTACCAAAAGCTGTGCAATGATTACAAAAAAAATAATACTGAACTATGGTGTTTATCTGATACTTACTAGCAACATTCAGGAACCTCTATGCTAGACAATAAGGTAGAAAATATTTTCCTGAAAAAAAATTCAATGTCACCTAACCATATTAATTGGCAAGAATGCTGATTATTATCATCAGATAATTTTATGCTCAGAATTAGAAATGAACTTTACCTGTAGACATGGCTAGAGTTAATGACAGCAATCTATAACAACAGATCAAAATGCTCCTAGCAGAGATCAGGGGTTGATAGTCAAATGCTTACTTATCCAGTTAATTTCTAGCAGAAAACAACACAAAACTAGGAACCTTAAAAATCATACTACTGTCTGTAATTTCTCTCTCACCTGGAAAGTTACTTTTTTTACATTGTCAAGTAAACCGCAAAAGAGTAGAACAGAAGAGTTGAAAGAGACCTAAAGGGCCCCCACAGTAAGCATTGCACAGATGCAAAAGTCCTAAATCATCCCAAAACATAACTATGACATGTGTGTAACAGGGATGTCAATAAAGAATATTTCATGAGACTAATCCTTACACAAAGGAGAACTTTTTAAAATCTGAAATTGCTCCTTTTCAAAAGCCGGTAAATTACTGGAACTATGATCATAAGTAAAATACCACTTGCTAATACTTTAAAGAGTCACCATCATGTCAATTAATCCCCAAATTTAATCATACTATAAACATATATTTCCATATTTTTTTAATTCCAAACAAAACAGTGCATTTACATTCATATTTTTCTCTGCAGGATTTGCAACCCAAAGAGTACATAAATTAGCTAATCTCGCTTCAATTTCCAAACTGAAAAAAACAAACTACCTTAATCCATCAAATAAATTTTTAACATCCTAAACATTTACATCTTAAGTTACTTTTTAATTGACTTCCTCTACAAAAATGGAATAGTCTTGACAGAAGAGAAGATACTTGCTAATGCTTAAAAACCCTCAAAATTAAATATGTTGACTATTCAACAGGTTACGTTAAACAGAATGTGAAGGCAAACTGAAACAGGCCATAAATGTTTCTAATAAATATTGACAAAACAACTGACTTGTCAGTGATGAACACTAGATTTTGAAATAATTTTGATAGTAGAGGTAAAAACACACCTCATTGCAAGGTTTAACTGGAGCTTACAGATAAAAAAAGGTCTGTCACCTAAAAAAGTAACTTAAATACAAGATATCCATTCTTTTTTCCAACTTCTGAATATAGGTGTATTCAAAACAAGTCTTTATCACTCTAAAGAGTAACACATTGAGATCCTAAGATAGCACTAGAGAGATTTAAAAAGAAACTTGTAGTACCAATATTTAAGCAGGTGACTTTTTTTAGAAAAATGGAATATATATTTTTACCCTCAAGAGATTCATGGAGTTAAAATTACAGCTTCTTCAAATGGGTTTCACAGAACCAGAACTCCAGATAAATGTATTTTTATCACATAGTTCAGGTGAAAATAACCTATATTAAAGATAACAGATGTTCCACTTTCCAGTCTAAAAGTTTTTAAAGCAAATAATGTGTTTCAAAATCTACTGTAATCCTCTAGTTATACTTTCCCAAATCTCAATTTGTATACTAAATACTTTAGTGTAAAATAAGGGAAATGGCTCATTAAAGGCACTAGGCATGGTTCACAAATTAAGAAACAAACAAACACACACACTAGACCAGGCTGCAAGAGACACAAATTTGAAGTTCTCAGCTCTGCCAGTGACGCACTGAGACGATCAGGAATTCATTTCACCTTTGTATCTGGTTTTTACCATTAAGTTTAAAGAAAAAATAATTAAAATCATATTGTAAAACATTTGGAAGGGAAAAACCATCACATAATGAACAGACGAACCTGATTAATTTTACAAACTCACAGAATCGGCTATGACTGGCTATATGAAGAAAGAGAACTGGTTTTATGCCATTCAAGCAAGGGGGTTTTAAGTCAGACACCTGTAATGACTACAGATACTAGAAACAATGGATTTTAATCTTATTCATGGGAATCATTCCCAAAACACAGCAATGATAATGGGATGCTTTTAGACCCTTCTGAACCAAATTTTACTAAGTCTGGGGGAAAAGAAAGGGACCAAGAGTTGAGCATGATTCAAGCTATTTGTCAGTGGTCAAAGGTACTTTGTCTCTATAAAACTCGTAAGTGGATTTCTGTTTGACATTAGTATTTTCTGGAATGCCATTAGTAATGCCATGGTACTTTGCTGAGTGAGCCACTGAAAAAATCTAGGCAAATCAGTTATAATTACAAAAAGAAGAGTTTACCAAAGTTACCCAACTTTTTGACACATTAGATTTGAACCAGCACACATTTTACAGGACAATGCCTCTTTCCAATCTGAGACCACATGATTTAGAGCTTCACTCTGCCAACACCTTACAGTCAATGTTAGTTCATTAGGAAAGAAAGAGTTGTTTTCAGTATGCACACTGAGCAATGAAATCAGACACGTACGTGCTGGAATAGCAGCATGTTGGAACAGCACACAGGTCTACGTGAACTGATGTACTGATTTTCCGCTACACATCTAAACGACTGCACACTGCTGTGCTTCAGAGCATGCGCGTGCTTTCACACGTGGCCTTCCACGAAAGCCTTCCCAAGACTTCTAAACGGAAAAAAAATAGCTTCCACTTACAATTCGTACTTCTGCTGCTCTAGTGGTTCATGCTGAGAGTATTAATTAGCTTGCTCCTAGGCTTCATGCGTACCTGGCCGCCCAATAAATCAAGGACAGCAAGTCTTAAACCCCCCCCGATCTGTTTCTCATCCATTAATGCTGTTTCCTTTCAACTCGGGAGGATATTCTGCGTGGACAGGCCTACACTACAACGCCGTGACCTCTGCTTTGCTTTAGCATACACCCGCCCTTTCTCACCCTGCCCTTCTCGGGTAAACCCAGCGCCCAGGAATCCAGGAGACGGTGCAGCCGCCCTACAGAGCAGCCAGTCGGCATTTCTGAGCCAATTCTCTTGCGAGATCTCAAAGGCAGTGTTGTCACCAGATGGACGCCCAGTTCCTCCCACCCTTTCGGGGCTGCAAAGGGGCAACTTTCCAAAATGACACTGCCCAAAATATTCCCAAAGGGCTGCCCTGGCGTGGACGGGCAGGGGCATGCGTGCCGCGGACAGCTCGGGGGAGAGAAGTTTTCATCCCAGACTCTGCCCTCGACGTGGCAGCGCCTTCCCCCCAGCGCCTCAAGTGAACTGCCCCCAACTCATCGCCGCCCAGGGCGATCCTCCAGGCCCAGCCTCGACCGCTCGCTGCGGCGGAGGTAGGGCCCAGAGGCGCCAGGGGAACCCGCCCCGC